CATTGCCAAATTCAGTCTGCTTTTGTATGGTCCTTGAGCTGCGATGGTCTTTACATTTTTCAGTGGTTGAAAAACAATGCCAAAGAAGAATGTTTCGTGACATGTGAAAACTACATGAAATTCAAATTTCAATGTCCATAAATCAAGCTTTGTTGAAGCACAGCTGCACCCATTCATTTACCTATGGTCTGTGGCTGCTTTTGTGCTAAATGTGAGAGTTGGCTAGCTGTGACATAGACCACCTGGCCCACAAAGCCACAGCTACCTACTATCTGACCCTTTGTAGAAAAGGTTCCTGACCCTGGTCTAATCCCTGCTAGCCAACTCGGGAACCCTCTTTACAGCCTGCTTCCCCTCTGACCTCTACCTTCATACCTCCAGCGGAGGGGAACCGACTGCCTTGGCAAGGCAGCCGTCCCATCCGAAAGGCTCTAGAGACAGCTATGTATACTGGCACTGAATTCCTCCCTGCAACATCGCACTCCGCACTTGAGCCTGTGCAGTTGGTCCCAACATTGCTCCACAACAGCCATCACGTTCTTTCTTCCCTCTAGAACCAATCCTGCCCCGGACCTATCCATCCCCTCTGTTGTTCTTCACCAATCCTCTGGGCGGTAGAGGGAGAATGGTGGCACATGCCTTACAGAACAGCTGGGCAAAAGAGAGGGGCATAGTTAGAGAACCAGAGCTGAAGCCAGGAATCCTCCCAGCCTGGTATCTTCTCAACATCGCCTGCGTGTCCATGTTGGTTTCCAGTCCATCACTCCCTTGGTGGTCCCTAAGGGCCAGAGCTGGTCTCTCATTTCCATGACTCCTTCCTGGGGCTCCCCTGGCTGTGCCTTTGTGGATCCAAAGGCAGCTCTGACATTTCACCTTGCTCCTCCACTCCAGGGTTCGGTCTTCGGCTCTGGGCTCTACTCTCCTCACGTCCAGTTCCCACCATCCCGACTACTGAGGCTGGTTCCTAGGGACTGCCTATATTTACAGCCTTTGTGATCTGCAGCTTGCTTTCATGAATCAGTCAGTATTCGAACTCAAAGTGCCAGGGGTGAGCTGACAACCAGAAATGAAAAATGGGATTCTTGGGTTGACTTCTGACATGTCTATAAAAAACATCCAGTAAGAGCTGTCCACAGAGAATACCTGGAAGGGATTTTGAGATCCCTGAAAGAAGAGGGCTGTGACAACATCAACCGGATACTAAGGATCTGGAATTCTCTCGGCTAAGGGCTGCTGCCCTTGGGAAACTCTGTCACTAATCGATAAGGGTGAGTGACCTAGAAGTGTGTGTGTACCCATGTGCATGTCCTACTCTGTGGGTAGAACGCTAGCATGGGCCTTGGAGGGTCAGACTGATGTAAATTCAGAATAAGTATTAAGCACTCAGAGGTAGTGTGGGAAGGGTACGAGAGAAGCCCTGGGTGGGATTCTGACCCTAAGTAGCTGTGAAACCCTGGAAAGGGATACCTTCCTTCAGACTTACTTTCGGTGAAATGGAAAACAGCAAAACTTCACAAGGTTACCATGGAGATGAATGCCCAGGATTCTAGCATAACGACTGGCACATGGTATTGGTTCACAAAATGTTACCTCACTTTTTCCTTTCTTCCTTCTATGTGCCAGGCACCATGCTAGGTGCAGAGGGTCCAGACGACCCAGGTACAGATCCTGCTCTCACATTCAGTCTAGCTGGGGAGACAGACACCCACAACCCCCAGAAGAACTGGAGGGCAGTGTGTTAGTGTGATGATGGCAGGAACAGGAAAAATGATGATGGAGATGACAGCAAGAGCTGATGCTCACTGCACACGCTCGCCAAGCCAAGCGCTCTCCAGGGACTATCCTGCCTCACTCTCACAATCTCTCTGGGAGATGGATGCTGTGCTATTCACATCCTACCAAGGAGGAAGCTGAGGCTCAGAGCCCAAGTCACACAGCAAGCGGGCCTGAGGACCTACGTGACGGGAGAACCAAAAAGCATGGTTGGATCGGAAAGGGTCCGGGAAGGCCTCAGGGAAGAGGTGGTGATGTCCTGAGTTTTGAAGGATGAGCTGGAGCTCTTCAGTGGGGGAACAGAGCAGGCATCCCAGGCAGAGGGACCATCGGGCATAAAGGTGTGTGGGGGGTAGATGAGAACTTTGTGAGTCGAATGGCATTCACCCGATTAGCGCCACTAGAACCACTGTCTTCAGGGATACCAATTCTAAAAGGCTCTGCTTTCAGTAGGGCATGTGAGTCAGCCAGCTTGAGATTATTTTATTCCTGCAGCAAAGACAGGCCTGGTTTACAGAACTACAAGCAGCTAATATCAGGTCATCAATACTCAGTGTACCAGTGAGCAGTACTTCTGCGTTCTTTTCTAAAAGAACCCTGAACACTGGGGATTAACTCAAGTGGCAGATATCTTCATTTAATTCTACTTTTAGAGACTCTTCAGCTTTGATTTACATTTCAGTGGCTCAGCCTTGCTGTCAACTCACAGGGATCTTGGGTGAGTCACAGTCTCCACCTCTCCCTCTCCGGCCTCAGCCTCCTCCAGTATAAAATGAAAGGGATGGGCTAGAACTCAGGTTTTCAATTTGTGGTTCTCACTCAGGAAAGAGAAGCTGTCTTCTTCGATCAGCTGAAACCCAGGGTCCAGGTGAGCCTTTCCAGAAAGCCTCAAGAATTTGTAGGCTGGGCTCGGTGGCTCAGCCTGTAATCTCAGCACTTTGGGAGGCCGAGGTGAGTGGATTGCCTGAGTCTGCGGGTTCGAGACCCGCCTGGGTAACTTGGCAAGATGTCATCTCTACAATAAATCAAAAAATTAGCTGGGTGTGACAGCACCTGTAGTTCCAGCTACTTGGAAGGCTGAGGCGGAAGGATCGCCGGAGCCCAGC